ATATATGAATAGACATACAGGTGTGTATATGTATACGTGCATATACAGATATATATATATATATATATATATATATTAATATATATATACTTGTATACCTGCGGGCTAGGGAAGAGTTATGCGGCACCTCTGCGTCTAGGCGCTGCTCCGCGAAGTACATGCAGACGCGCCTTTGTGTGCGGATGGCGGTGAGTTAGGCGTAAGTAGTCAAACGGACTGACGGGTCGCTGAACCTCTACAAAACAAAAAACTAATACGTGTTGGAAATGGGAGTGGGAAGGGCGCTAAGCCGGCCCGGGTGTTTGATGCACTCTGTGTGGCTCTATTGGCGTAGTATTAAGATATACTTTGTGATAGTGAGACTCTGCAGGGGCACAGGTTTCGTAAAGGGAGCTGGCAAGTTTGCTCGTGAAGTTATGCGTTTTTTACTCATGTGAATAGTGCTGCTTGAATAGGTGGAAAAGCTTTTTGTGCAATTTCAGGAGCGACTTTGTAAGAGGTTTGGCTCTAATTTGGGTAGGCACGCTGTGTATCGGACTTGTATCAGGCCCTTCGCCACAGTTAACCGCCTACCAACGAACAAATCACCTTCGAACCGGAACCGTCTGAAGTGTTCTGCAGCCAGCGGCCGACTGGGGAAAGTCCCCCCTCCCCCTCCCCCATACAACTCCAGTTGCCTGCCCATCCGCCACCTGGCATCCCAAACTATAATGGTTGAATTGAAAAAAGCTAAGTGACAATCTACATCTCTGATCAACTCAGCCAGAGATCCTTTAGTTTATGCTTCTCACGTGACCGGCTAGGTCAAAAGCCCCGCAAAATCATCCTAAAAATACCCATGCGAGACTTCACTGCTAGCCTAATGACCAATGGCCTGTCGAGATATATGAACTGTTTCTTCAGTGAGGTGTCAATTTAATCGCTTGACAAGATCTGAAGATTGTTTTACCTAATCTTCAGAACTTGACGTGCCAGATAGATCTGACACGCGGCGGCAATAATACCCGATACTCAAAGACGTAGTGGTTTGCCTGCAATGCCTCAGGTAGTGGCGGGTCAAGATAATCAATGATGTTTACAAAACATCATTGATTCCTTCGACGCTAATCTTTACCTAAGCTGGCATATTTGGACTTTGTGACTCCAAAACGGATCGTGAGCTCACCTGGAGTGAGTCCCCTCATCCTTAGGCAGCGTGGAGACCATCAGTGGAGGACTGCACGTCCTGAGACAACGCGATTACATTTCTTTGCTGGTCTTATTCCCAGGGAAAACACGACTATGTCCTTTGCCCTTCCTTCCGTAAGCTGATTTGCTGCTTCAAAGTAGGAAGGTTCTATTTTGGCAGCATCTCAGATAATGCTATCTACAAGCTCCTTTCAAGAAAATGGTCGGTTTTGGGACCAAGCGGTACATTTATGGCATTAATCTCCTCTGTTTCCGTTCAACGAACCTCTGTGGCCAATAACGCCCGACAGTTGCGTCTGTCTAGCGTAAGGATGCCAATCAAGGCTTTGTCGGCACAAAACGTTCTGTTGCATCAGCTGGAAGATCCGCCCGCACTGCCGCTGGGCAAACCGCCCGTGGCGGACGCCGTTGACTAATACCGCTCCGGGCCCTGTCACGCGCTTAGCAATCTTGCCGACCTTACGACAGCCGAAAGGTCCCGCACAACAGCAGACGGAAGGCCGGGCGAACTGGCGCACTGGTGCACTGGCAGCCAGTGAGTAGCTAAGGTGCTGTCGGCTGCCGGGCGGCGGTCTCAGGTCCAGCCCAGTGCCACCTCTGAACGCTGGTGGTCGACCCCGCGCGTGTCTCTCGGCCCCTGGCCTATCCACAGCTGGGATGACACTGTGGCCGACACAATGGATGACTGTTGGTAAGGATGCGAGAAAATCTGTGGGCCACAGGGCACAAGAATCTCATAACCAATGGTCGACCAAGGGGCAGCGTCTCGCCACCCCCTGGAGGCACGGGTCCCAGTATGATTCAGCAGCCTTAAAACGCGCGACGCGCTTGCTACAGCATAAAAACTGTCCACACGAGGCAGAGTAAAATAGAATCCGATTCCCAAAAGGATCCCCCAAGAAAAATAGTACCTAAGGCCATGAAGAGGGGTCTTCTTGACTAGCAGGGTCCCTGTGACCCTACATTGGCCCACTCCTGGGCGAAATCTTGGTCGACCGCTCCCTGGGTCGCTATCAAGGCATTATGGTGAACGTCGATATCCAGGTGCCTGCCGGATAGGTGGTGGAGACGTTGAGGGACTAGACGTTGCAGACGACGAGGCGTCGCTTGGCTCGCCTGATAGACTCGTGGTGTATAGGTGCAAAGTGTATAATGCAACTAAAACCTAGGGTCATAAGTGTCTCCCCTGTAACGGCGCTGAAACGCCAATGGAATCAGCTGAAGAAAAAGAGGAAATATCGTTCAGCGCATGTAATATTCTTCTGGTGAGCACTGGCAAAGACTGTTCTCTAACCCCACCAACAGATGATGGCGTAACGCGGTGGGACCGAATAATTGCTGTGGGTAGCTTTCAGCTGGCAAGATGATGACTAGCCCATGGGTCGAAACCGGGATAACCAGGCGCAGAGACAACATCAAGACTGAGCCCCAGTGTGAACAACAAATAAGTGAAACGTTCCTAAAAGCAGACCTGATGTGCCCTTGTTTGTGAGCAGTTGGAATGCGAAGGTGTCCGAAAGAATTGTCATTCAGGGTTGTTTTGGGGTCAAAGTCCTCTTCAAGCAAGGCTTGTAGGCCAAATGCTGGACTCATTACCAAGCGATCTGAACTTTGGGACATTTTTCGAATCTCGTGGCCATATACAGTAGTGATGGAGTGCTAGACATTTCAACGCGTTATGACAGGTCATAAAACCGACGCTCCATTGCAATGGTGCGTTGGGACACAACCCATTTTGCACGCGCTCAGTCCGAGTGACTGCAGGAGGGGATATCACCGCGAGTCGCATATTTCAAGTCCACGTGGTTTGCTTTCGCCAGCCAGTCTGGTGCAACAGTTCGAGCTTACTCAGCGCAACTTAACAATGTTCGAGCAAGCACGCAGCAGACTGACAAACATTAGTTTGGGGTCAATTCACACCAGCATTACTGTGGTAATGTAACCTTCGAAACTTTAATATACCAAAGCGCACATCGTTGCTAGAAAATCCAAACCTGTGTTACCACGGGCTTGAAATTCTCTAGAGGCACGACTTCTCGGCGGACGGTACCGGCGTGGCACGTGGATTTCTCCCCGCGTGCCGAAGGCTGGTGCGCCCATGGCGTCCGGTTTGTGGTGAGCGGGAGTGGGGAGCGGGCGGGTCGAGCCGGCTCCTCGCGCTGCCAGGCGGCCCGGTCGGCGTCCTTGTCCGACGCCAGCTCTAATCGGGCCGTGGAATGTTCATTTTACGTCGGCCAGCTGTGTTTTGTTTTGCGGAGTTGATCGGATAATGGTCATGATAATAGCTAAGTAGACATGCGAGTTAACTGCAATGTGACAAACTTCGTGCCATTGGCGTTTTCCTCTGCTTTTCTGTTATAATTTCCGAGTGTCCTGTGCCAGATTCTTAGGACGTCAATACCCCTAAAACAACCCCAACCTTGTCACCGTTTAAACGTTGTTCAGCAAATAACACCGGGCTGGGTTCAAATTACGTCATTGGTGTTATTTTAGCACCGATTTTCCTTGTTGCTTGCCTCCTCAATATCTAACGCTTTGACACATTAGATGAAGTTTGCAGAAGTCAAACTCGGGTGCCCTTAGCTCGTAAGTCACCCACCTTATAGGCATGTAGTGTTTTTCGACATCTTCATGAGACATTACGATAAGTTGAAATGAACGTCCTCATTCAACCAGGAAATTATGTCGATCGTATACAAGACAATAGAGAGACGTTCACAGATAGCCTAGTATGACATGTTTCCCTTAAGGCAACTTTTTTGCTATGCTATCCACACGACGCGGACTGGAATATTCAAGTATATCG